CGTAAAATGGTTTCGAAAATGTATTAAATTTGGCATCAAAAGATTCATCATAAAATTCTGCATTGGAAAAGAAACTTCTTATGAGAATCGGTTCGTGGGCCGATTCCTGTTCTTATGCGCCCCCGTCCTTTAATGTACAATACACAAATATAATTTGGTCACTTTCAGACTTTTCAAGCATTCAAGTATTATATTTTTTTCCAGACGTAGCAAATACATCGAAACTTATGGCATTATTAGTTCATACTCGTATTATGTTTAAAGTCATGGTAGTTTTGGGTGTGGGGCTGGTGTGTAGGTGTGGGATGGGTGTGGGTTTGTCTGGATTAGAGGGTGATTGATACTCATGCCCACACCCACACACGAATCTCACCCACACGCACATCTACACCCACACGCCACGTGCACATCCTCACCCCACACCAACACCCACCCACACCCACACCCGTCCTCTCTCGAGGCGACCTCTTAGAAGAACATAGAACGAAAAAGTCCGTGGAAAAATGCAGTTTTTTTCTTTCTCTGTTTCAACGACCTGGGTACCATGTGCCTTTATCAGGTGGTTATTATTAACTTAGAGAAGTACCATGAAATGGTATTCTTTTTGTTTTTATGTGCATTATTGAGTGTTACCCGAACGCTCGTTTTCACCGTGTACTGGAAATTAATTCGATCAGCAAAGCGTTCCCACGATGCATTTCGTCGTCAAGGTCTACCACGAGAACTATTTGTGCTCATTATTCGTCAATGATGTGAAATGAATCGAGCTCGAGCCGATGGTCAGTATATGGCTTATTATCAGACGATTGCGGAAAAATATGAACATGTCTTTCTCATGGGCTTTGGTCTTTGGATGCGTCTTGTCGTCCACGATCCAGGTCTACTCGTCGATGTTCTCGGTCGATATCATGTCCACATCGATACCAAGACGCCTCTGAATGCAATTGTGAGTGTGGGAGAATAGAAGATCCACACCGGCACCCCACCCACATCACGCATCCTAATCCGTTGAATTATGTTGAATATAATTTGTTAACCAAAGGTTGAATAGTTTCAAATTAGGCGAATAGGGTAGATAACATGTTTTATTGATGACATAACCTGCTGAATAACTAAGAACATTGAATGAATGTAAAGTCTATGATCATCGTCGAGCAACTTTTTATCTTTAGTGTCTGATTTCTGTGTTTGTGTGCATATATCGTTAGTAAAGGTTTCAGAGAGAGTTTTCGACTTAATAGTTGTAGTATACATATACAGCCTTACGTGTATCTACATTATATAAAAGAATAGAACCATTAGATTTAAAAAATACATGAAACAAACTTTTCGATTCAAAGCTATCCCAACAAACAAATCTCGTTAGCAAGTCTTCACAATTATTCCAGCTACAATTAGTTGATTTATGCTCAATCTATCTATATTGAATCCATGATCACTGGTTTGTATTAATACTGCATCATCGCTGTTGTGTATCAGAAAATGTGACTGAATTTTTGCTAAAAGTTCTAACAAAATCATAATGATACTCATCAGTGAGTTAATGAGCCACTCAGCATAGTATGACTTTTCTCATTTTTAAACAATCTTGAATAGTTCGTTGAATTCTACTATTAGAGAGAGAGAGAGATAAGTCTCAGGTAAAATATAATCAAAAGATGAATGTAGTTCATTTTTAATAGTCTATGATATCAGTTCAACATGTATATCTCTAAGTTTAGAAACCAGACAACCAAATCGATATTTATCCATCGAATTTTCTCTGCTTTGACGAAAATACTTCATCCGTCTACTAACTATTGGATATGATAAAATATTAAGTTCCAATGAGTTCCATAGACGTTATAAGTTTCTTTTGAATTATCTTAGCATCTATTCCAGAAGTAGTTCGAACTTTACTGTAACATCAATCGAATTCTCTCTCACTTGTTCAAACTTTTTTCTTTGTTGAAATTGAATTTCATTTGGAAGGATATGAGAACTAAATTCAAAATGGAGTTATTAGATATATATATGTAATATACAAGATTATTCTAATATTTATTCATGGAACAATCTCTTTAATCTTAACTAGTATATAAAAATACCAGTATGATCTCAGAAGTTTTGGTCAGGCGTCAGTACTTTGTGCAAAAATATAATGTACGTGGATATTTTTTGAATATCTCAAGAACAAAACTAGCTAGAAATTGCAGTTTTCACCATTCGAAAGACAAATATGGATAAAATGGAAATTCACTGAATTATCTAGAGTATGTTTTGATCACGCTGATGATTTGTTGCTGTAAATTTTGACCAAAAGCCTTTCAAAAATCTTTTTCAATTAAGAATGAGTTTCAATTTGAGAACTTGGTAGTGAAGACATTTCTCTGTCGATCTATGCAACAACTGAATCTTCTAGGTTATTTCATTAAATAAATAAGGATTGTACTAGAAACCTTATAACTAACCAGCTGATCGTTCGTCACTCTACACTCGATTGAATCTGGTACATTCACCTACGTTGAGTTCAATAGCGGTATTTGTTTTCAGTTTTGAACCTATCTCACATTGAAAACACACGATCTTGAAAATACTCCACTCAATGTTAAAAGCTTTGTAAGTATATACTGAGTTACAAAAACTATGATCCAGTAACTTACGATCATATTGAAACTTAACACAAGTAGTACAACTAAATTCAACAAAGAGGAGTAGTCAACAATTCAGTACAGTTTAATGTGACCAATGATTAATTGGTCGATTTCAACGCTTCTAGTAAAATACTTATAACTTCTTAAAATAATAAAGTATAAAAGTCGGTCTGGGATAGTTCGATAGAGAAATATCTTCATTATCAATTTCATAAATTCAATCTCATTGTTACTTGAGAATAGGTTTTTCAAACAAAAATTCAATCAACTTAACCTTGACATAGTCCAAATAATCCAACAAAGTTTTACTTTCTCCACATTTTTCTCTAGAATTGTGAACATAATAGCTTTCTAACTACTTTCGTGTTCGAAATATTCAAAAAATATTCTTAATCAACAGTATAGGAAAATTATAAACAGTTCACTCCTGAATCATTAGTGAATGAATGTAACGTTTCCTTTGTTTATTTTTTATGTTACTCTATGAATCTTAAAAATAAAAGAGATTTTTATCATTCGACTTGTTTTGTGTTATCTCAAAACTTAAAAGCCGAATGCCTTTCACAGGGAGAGAAGGTATTATATGATACTTGATTTAACGAGTTATCCAGCTCTTCAGTCCGCATGTCCTTTATATACCATGCTATTCATGATTAAACCACTTGTATATATGATAATGTATGTGAATGTTGCAGATGAATGACACATATTTTTTCATTTCGAGGTCTATTATTATATATGATTGTTTTTCAGAGAATTAGTGAATGATGATAATGTGCGTATGGTAACATGCTGGAAATCACTCACTGTTTACGAATGTTTCAAAAATTAAAAAATTAAATAAAAATTAAAAGAAAACATCAAAATATATTTCCACTTATTATACAATCAATTCATTAGTTATTTACAGAAATACATATAATAATTCATTGTTATTTTTTCTATTAAACGCTAGGATTTGTTCATTGTGACATAGATGAGTATTATTCATTCACATGACGCACTACTCGTGTTGTTTAGTGCTGAAATTTCTATAGTTGGCAGACCGATCATCCTCAAGACTATTGATTATTTACAAAAAAAATTACCGATAAAAAGATGCTTTTTATATTTGCTATTCATAAGGATTTATTAAGAAATATAGACTGCAGAAGATTTTTGTTTTAATAAAAACAAAGATTGATACATATAATTCTTGTCAAACTAAATAATAAAAAATTTAGATACTAAACAATATGCGTTCTTTTTAATTTTAAGTTTGTTTTCAAATACAAAAATAAATGGTTAAACTACAATGTAAGCTAGTAGTATTCTTTTGATGAAAGTTTTATGTAATTTGGATATTGCAGACCGAGAAGATGAGAAAGAAACATTAATTAGATCATATGAATGATTATGGAGAAGCTAAAATTATACTTCAAAGAATATTATATTTTAATGCTTCACTATTGATATTCAATACTATGATGCCACTTGTATTTCAGTCTGAATAACTAAAATCAAAATGTTGTGCATGAAATACATCTGGTTATGATCATGTAGATCAAAGAAAAATATTAATGCAATTACGTTTCAACCGTGTTATTGTATGCATGATCTATCATTATGTGAAAAGGAGTTTTCCCTTGAAGTTATAAAAAAAAAGGAATGATGTAGACTTCTTGAGCTGTTTTCCTGATTGAACTTCAATGATGATTTTTCATTGGAACGGATAAGCAATCTTACTACATCTGGATTACATTACATAGAATCTTAATCATGTAAGGGAACGGCATGATATAGAAAAATGATAATATTAAGCATTTCACCATAATACATGATTTTACTGATGAAATGATTATATTTTTATTTTTTCCGACATATTTTCATTGGTCCTTAGTTTAGTTTTTTTTTCTAATGTATCATATATTTTCATTGCATTAATGTCTTGACGTTTTTCATTTCATTACTTCTTTTCTTCTCTTTAGATAATAGTTGCGGTAAGTAGCTGTATTCAAGTAAAAAAACAACCTTCATAAATATAATCAACAACATTTATTATATCTAATTTAAAGTAGAAGTAAGAGCACAACTAAACCAAATATATATATTGTTGAGTATTACTTCATTTTGAGACTGTTTGTGTTCTCTTCAAATATTTTTTATTGAGAAAATATACATTTGTGAAAATGTTTCGAACTTGTTCAGTATATTTGATTATGTATCAAACACAACATGAATATTCTTTATCAATAATAATCGGGATATTTAAAATCAGTATTATTTTAAGTTTTTTTTTCTATTATTCAATATATTTTGTTTTCTTTCGTTTTTATAATTAAAATAGAAATTGATAATTTTCATATTGCATATTTAGACTACTGAAAAATGTCTTTAACTGACGAACAAAAGAAAATTATAAAATCAACAGCACCAATCTTAAAAGAATGGGGCAAAGAAATAACTTCAATATTTTACAAACAGATGTTTATAGCTCATCCAGAATTATTAAATTTGTTCAATCAAACTAATCAAAAGATTGGTACACAACCATTAGCATTAGCTAATACAATTTATTTTGCTGCTGAAAATATTGATCATTTGGATGTACTTACACCACAAGTTCAAATTATTGCTCACAAACATCGAGCTGTAACTGTTTTAGAGGAACATTATCCTATTGTTGGCAAATATTTACTTATTGCTATAAAGGAATTTTTAGGTGAAAAAGCAACACCAGAAATTTTAGATGCATGGAGAGTTGCTTATGATATTATTGCTAAAGTTTTCATTGATGTTGAAAAAGAATTATACGATGAACTTGGGCCAGATGAATGTGACAAAGGTTTTGTTCCATTGACTATTATTAAAAAAGAAGAAATTGCAAGTGGACCAATTGTTGCTCTTACATTAGAACGTCGTGATGGTGGCAAAATGCATAATTATCAACCAGGACAATATATCACACTTCGTATTAAAAAAGATGGTTGGTTCCATAATCGACATTATAGTCTTGTTAAACCATTTGATGGTAAAACTTATTGTGTTGCTATTAAAGATGAAATTGATCATGAGCCAAAAGGTCTTGTTTCTAATGAAATAATTGATAATTATCATGTAGGTGATACAATTTTAACAAGTTTTCCAGCTGGTACATTTACATTAATTGATGATGCTAAACATCATTTATTTATTGCTGGTGGAATTGGTATATCTGTTCTTTCATCAATGATTCTTGAATTGCATAAACGAAATAAATCAAATAGTGCAACATTAATTCAATGTGTAGCAACAAGAGAACATGCAGCTTTTGCTAATCAATTCAGATCATTTCTTTCGGAAAATCAATATAAATTATTTTTTCAAGGTGAAAAATTAAACAAAGAAGATTTACAAAAGTTATTAACAGGAGATTCACATGTATATTTATGTGGTTCAGTACCATTTATGAATACGATTGAAGATTATTTAGCTGAATGTGGTCATCCATCATCTCAAATTCATATAGAAGTATTTCAACCAACACTTAGTGTAATTCGAGATGCAGTTAAGAACGATGCAAAAACAAAATCATTATAAATGTCATAGTGAACATTTATTGAAAGACTATCAGCTTTTCTTTTTTTTTTCTGCTATCACATATTTATGATGCATTTAATTTTTAGTTATGTTAGAATCTCATATATATATATATATATTAAAGAATAAAAATTAGAATTTCAACACAAAGTATTTGCATCTCAATTCCACAATTGAACAACTCAGAGGTTTTTCAAGTTACATTCAAAATTGTTTTAATGCAGTCAAATCAGACTTGACTCGTCTTTGCCAGCTATGGTTGACTCATTTTGACCACTTCTAATGATATTAAATAATCAAAAATTTCAGATTATAAATAATAAAGACCTATTAATTTTATGTTGAAAATTGTAGATTTTAAGTTTGCTGATTAACAGAACCAAGTGAAAGCGACTGTTCTATTTTTCGTATAAATGGTGTGAATGTGAGTGTGGATATGGGTTAGAGATCAGCGGAGACACGCGAATCCCGATCTCATCGGAGTTGGATCAGAGTCGAGGCTAAGAACTTAGGACATTCCATAAAAATTAGTTTTTGTTTTTCATAAGATAAACTTATTTATTTTCACAGTTAATTAAAGAGTACAACGACGAACAAAGAAGCACAAAATATCTGATCATCAAAATTCAAAGTTTTACTAACAATAGAAAACAAAAACTCAGAAAAAAGAGGATATGGGTGATTGTGAGTATGGATACTGTGAGTCGAAGAAGTGTGCGTCTGATTCAAGAACACTGAAACTCACAACGACATCCACACCCTCACTGAAATAACTGTGCCTGAAAGCCTTGAGTATTTCGAATTATTGTTGTGAAGCAAACATTTCATCACTTGTTATTGTTGTTGTTGTTGTAGATTCGGTACGGAATTCAGCTTTAGTTAATTCAAGAAGATGCGCTACGATATTCATTAGATTCATACTTTTATCAAAATAATGTGTAACATTTTCGAAGTAATGATTGTTGTAGAAGATCAGAAAGAACATTTCTACTAACTCGCATTCGATTACAACTACGCTAAATCAATTTTAAAGAAAATATCGTTACATCGGATACTGAAGCATCAATGCACTAAATTGTGACATCTTATATACAAGTCATCTTTCTTACAAGAAGCCTATTTTTTTTGTAATTCATATACTACTAAACCTTCAGAAAACGTCGAAACACGCGTAACACTGCTTCAAAAACAGTTAATAATGCATAAAAAATGATTTTGAAAATTCTATTGTTCTTGTATTCCTAAATTGTCAATACCTAAAAATTTGAATAACTCGAGCCAGCCTAGCCATGAGCAGCTCATATGATTAATTTGATAGTTTCACACTGAGAGCGATCATTTCACTCGAATATACTTAGTCAAATCAACTGACATGACAAACAATTCCATTGTTAGGGATATGTGTTGTGATAATTCGAAAGAAAAATATACATTGGTATACAATTGTATCCTCAATAGATAAATTTTCTATTAATTCGATTCTTTTATTCTATTAACATAGATGAATTTTTCTCTGGTGAAACTTAATATGTTTGTAGATGCATGTATTTGTGTTGTTTATCTCTATAAGCGTAATCTATAAGATAAATCATTTTAAAGATTGTCAAAGAATAACTGAGATCTATTGAAAGAAATTTTTTATTTGTAAAAATAAAAAAAGGAAAGATTTCTATAAAACTGTTCATCCAAATGCGATCTACAAAAGAAGTCTAGTAGTGACAAAAAAAAGAGAGCCGAGCTAAAATTTGAGTAAAGTATTGTGAGAATGATAAGTAAACATTCATTATTTTCATCTTTTCAAATGAAAACTATTTGTATAAATTGACAATATTGCGTCGATATTGATGTCACCTGCTGCTGATCTTCCTTTTCCTCTTTTCTCTTTATTCTCTCTCCTATATAAGCAGGTGTTGCATATGAAATAGTGACATTCTGCAGATGTAAAGTAGTTTAATCAGTATCATTACCAGGGATGACGGTAAGTTACTCCTGCAGTTTATCGTAAAAAATATGATAAAATAAATTTTCTAAAAAATGGATCACTAGATATTTAATTAAAAATTGTAAAAAAAACATTGTCCAACAAAATTTTGCATAGAAAAAAAATCAGACAGAGTTATTATTTCGGTATCATGTTATCTATAACCTTCCCATCTTGTTTATAACTTTTTTTGTTGAAAGGATTCGAACTTCAATTCTTTACGAGAATACATCTAAAATTTTGCTAAAACTCTGACGAAGAAAAGCTAGATAACTGATACTACAACGCATCATCATGCCTAATTTTCAAAATCTATTTTTTCTTAATAGTTCAACATTTATTTTTAGCTTTGTACAAATATAGTAACATGACAGCGTAAGTTCAAGAAGTGGAACTAAATGCTCTCGTTTTCATGATGTACAGTGAACTTTGTTTCAATGAAACATTTTTGACACAAACATTGCTTTATATAAACTGAAGTGAAACTACATAAGACTTTGCTAATTTTAAGCAATATGTCCAAATAAAAGGTTCGATTCAAATGCTGGCTTTTGAGTGTGATACATCATTCATTTCTTTTTAAACTGAAATAAAACTGAGTTATAAAGATTCATGGTTGGTTGACTTTATGCAATTTTTTCTGAGAGCCCTAAAAGAACTGATTTAAAATCGTGTTTTTGTCAAAATTTGAAAAATTAAATGCTTCATCTACGTCTTAAGTACTAATGCAAATATTTTACAAATATGTTCAAAAGTCAGAGTTTTTGAAGCGTTACAAAATTTCTATTTATTTATTTTTGTTAGTTCAAAATTCCAACGAACAGATTCAAACAAATTATTTTTTATCTGTCGAAGATGGACATATTGAAGCTTCGCAATATTAAAGATCTAGGCTTTCTCCTTAAGATTTTGTAACGAATTAAATGACGAATCTTTAAAAAAAAACATAAGGCTTGATGATGATGAACCTTGACCATGATATTGAGAAAATACATAGACAGGCATCGATACTGGCATACACATTATTTTTTGAGTGTGGTATTACGAAATATTTGTCTATAGATTAGCAATTATTTTTTCATGAAGATTGCACACAAGTCGCTACAAATTAACTATTTATAGATGTGCTTCAAATTTCCATGACTTTACTTAGACAGACAATAAACGGGTAGAGTTGCATTTAAAGTGTCTTAATAAGTATAAACGTGTTTATTGATGAAATGTTTTCTATTATATTCTTGGTAAGTGGTTAGTTTAACTATTCTGCAGTACTTTTATGTGATAGAAACCATCTAAATGACGTAAGAATAATTGATAAGCAATTAATCTTGCTATCTCTAGTAAGTAGTAGATGTTGCTATTTACCACTTAATAGGAATAGGTGAGTTGTAATTAGAATACGTATGTGTTACTAATGAAAAACAAAATGTTAGGTGCACTATTTTTTATTAACTATAATAAAATGATATGCTGAAGCAAGATTGACTCGAAATACTCTCATATCGTGAATATTTTCCTTTCATTTCTTTTAAAAAATGTATATATACAGGTGAGTAGCAAGTGTGACAAACAGACGAAGTATAAAATAAGTTCGAGTTCAGTTGTTCCATTAATTTTCTCTAATTAGTCGTTTCTTATTTTATCTCTTTTCTCTTCAAGCTCAGAATCACTTGTCAATAATTAGAATAGCAGTGTTGCAATAATTGTTTTTTAGTGTAAGCCTTTGATGAAGGAAGTTTGTAATGAGTACGCTTATAGGATGAATTATTTGAGATAGTAATAGTTTTAACTAATCATAAAAATAATGTCAAGCTTTGATAGATGAATACGTTGCCGAAAATTTCATCATTCAAGATGAAAGTAGATAGAAACATATCTATAAAGATGACACACTGTCATTTCCAGAATAGATTACAAACTTGCGACAATTCTTAATTCCAGTAAAATATTGTGGTTGTTTTTCAATTAAATCCTTTTTTAAATTTAAATATGAGGAACTGATTTAAATAAAGATAAATTTAGTACTGCATATCGAATAGAACATTGTCAGTGATTGGAATCCTAATTGTAGTTTTCTAAGTATTAGAAATTTGTGAGATAATTAGTGGTTCGTCATTGTCTTTCACCAATTCCAGCGTTAATCGTAATATTTAAACGTATGTTCACCAAACAATCTAATTGATCAATAAAATATGAAACTTTAGTTTCTTATTATAAAAAGAATAAATATAAAATCTTCGAATAAGAGGATATCATCGCTCAACTGAAATATGTCATGTCCGTTGATTCAAAACGACATTTGAGAATTCAGAAGCCTAGGCTCTAAGAAATAAGAAATAAATATTGAAATTTTCTATCAAGATAGAATATTTAAATTTAAAATGCATGAGGTTAGATAGATTTTGATTTTTGGCATTGAGAATAGAGAAGACAAGATAGTCTAAGAGAATACTCTTGTTTTGAGAATCAGTATAAATTTCCATGCAGTAACTACTCTTTTTCAGCAGTCAACATGAAGCATTTACAGAATGTTTCAAAAGTCCCTACCAAAAAATGTTTTTTTTTTGTATAATTTCAATATTAGTCGACCTTTATCAGCTGACTGTTTGCATTATAGGTGACATCATCAAGGTTTTCTTTCTATGGACAAACTATAACAGTGCTCTTTAAAGTAAATGCCCGTAGTCAAGATAAAAGAATTTCGCTTTTTTCAGATTTCATAATAATATTACACTGCGTTTTATTTTTAAATTGCTTGAATTGTAACTTGATATCATTCGATTTTTTTTAGGACACACTAATACTAATTTCTATAAAACAATGCCTTGAGATTTGAAAAATTTAAAGGTCAGAATAATTTCACAAATTGAAGCAATTAATAAAAGAAACGCTGTATAATATTATTATGGAGTCAGGAAAAAGGCTAAATTCTTGTGTTTCGGCGAAAGATAATTATGTTAAAGAGTTCTTTTATAGTTTGTTAATGGAATTGAAAACTTGGTAATATCACCTATAATGC